TGTTCCAGCTATGTTTGATATATATCCCGGGGCCTTAAATTGGTAGCTAGGGCCCAGCAAGTTTGTCGGCTCGGTAAATAATCACAGAACTGACTATGCGGCCGGAGCTGATCTCAACAGATCAAACGCGCGAATAGGCTCAGTAAACAGCAATTAAGCGGCAACTTAAACCACCGTAATCATGGGCCTTAACTTGCTACTTTGCCTGCATAATGGTAGGTCACATGTGTTTGTACTGCCCGTCGCACAACCACAAAAACCCATGCTCTTCATTTTACCACTGCAACCATTCACACCTTCCGTCTCACCCATACCTACAACAGAAAACAGAAACACCAACAACAAAAGGTAAACTTCCAACAACAACAAATTTATCATTCAAATTATATAATTGGAAATCGAAAATCCAACAACAAAATATAACAGAATTATCCACGTATTCAAAATTTTCATCGAAATTTAATTGGATAGAAAAAAAAAGAACATAATAATAATAATAATAATAAACAGCAGCAACATCGCCGGCGTTACGTAATGAGTCAATATTTATACAGAGGATTCTCCACCGAAAGCGGCAGTCCTATAATTAAGAGTAATTACCATAAGCGGCCTATTAATACGCGTATAAAAGCGTTTATAATGCCTTTATAATATTGAAATAATTATAATTTTTGTACTGCGTGAGAGAGGAGCCGGGATAGAGAGGAATCTTACGTGCTTATTACGACGGGATCAGAATTGTGTGTTTCCGAATGTTAAAAGCAAGAGAATCCATCAATCTGCGATTAATGCATTCTATAAGTTCGTGGTGACAGCTTTATAACTGTATATAATATATAAAATGAAAATATTAGAATAATTATTATAAGACTGTAGGAGTTATGCAAATACACAAAGCAATAGATTGACCTATTCCATTATTTTTTTTTAAATTTAATGTCAATGGAATGCTAATTTATTAATGCATGAACAATATTTCTTTGAATTTTCGATTCGTTTTTGGATAATTGATTATTATTTTTATGAAGATTTAAATATTACAAAAATATTGTGAAACTTTTTCTTTCGAAATCAAGTTTAGTATTATTTCATTTTTTAACTATACTAATTATTCATTTTTTAGTTAATTAAATTAAAATTTTAGATTCAATTAGCAAATTTAATTCAAAATGTAATGATTGTATTAAAAATCACCTTATATGGTTATATATGGTTATGAAAACGCATCTACGTCACGATGAAACATCTTCAAACGATAAAAACAATCCTTATTTGGGCACAAAAACGCGTGATGTGCGTCACGATGAATCAGCGGTGACTTTGAAAGCTAAACAAATCCTTATATGGTTACGAAAACACACGAACTAAGTTACGACGAAACAGCTGCAAACGATTCTTATTTCGGCACGAAAACGCGTCTTGTACATCGAAACCTGCAATCACGAACGCGAAAACAAAAAAAATAGAGCTTATTGATTCTTATTTAAAGAAAACCAAACTCTTAAAGTCAATAAAATAATTAACAATTTTTTTTTAATATCAATTTTCAAATACCAAATTACAAAAGTTATATAATTACAATACAATTTCTAAAGTATTTCTGAATTATATCTATATAACCTAAAATACATCAATTTGTGATTAATATATTTAACTTTGGCGTTAAGATACATTCCTGTGCTCTTATCCATATTGCTGTAATACGCGTTCAAAGTTGAAAAATTTAAATTAGAACGTTCAAAAAAGCAGTGTCTTCTCATTTCATTGGTTTACTCGAAAACTATAATTGATAGAATGAGTCTAATATATTCATATGAAAGCTGAATGTTTGGGGAATCGAACATGTATAGATACATTCTTGTGCTCTAAAACTATAATAGATAGAATGAATCCAATATATGCATATGAAAGCTGAATGTTTGGGGAATCCAGCAAGTATAGATACATTCCTGTGCTCTTATCCATATTGCTGTAATTCGCGTTCAAAGTTGAAAAATTGAAAAATTGAAATTAAAACGTTCGAAAAAGCAGTGTTTTCACATTTCGTTCAAAATTGACATATTGAAAAATTGAAATTAGAACGTTCGAATAAGCAGTGTTTTCATTGATTTACTCGAAAAGTATAATAGATAGAATGAATCCAATATATGCGTATGAAAGCTGAAGGTCATTGATCACGTCGTTTGGATTATTACATTTCATTGATTTACTTGAAAATTATAATAGATAGAATGAATCCAATATATGCATATGAAAGCTGAATGTTTGGGGAATGTAACGTATATCGATATCTTACTGTGGTTTTAGCCGAGCCGTTTGGCTGTAATTCGTGTTCAAAGTTTAAAAACAGTGTTTTCACATTTCATTGATTTACTCGAAAACTATAATAGATAGAATGAATCCAATATCCGTTTTGCTGTAATACGCGTTCAAAGTTGAGTAATTGAAATTAAAAAGCAGTGATTTAACATTTCATTGATTTACTCGAAAACTATAATAGATAGAATGTATCCAATACAGGCATATGAAAGCTGAATGTTTGGGTAATTCAGCATGTATTAATACATTCCTGTGCTCTTAAGTAGTTTTCGTGAAGATAGAAAAAACATATTTATACATTGCATTGATATGTTTGGGGAATCCAGCAAGTATAGATACATTCCTGTGCTCTTATCCATATTGCTGTAATTGCGTTCCTTTTATGAAAGGGGAGGCGCCAAATGATTACATACTTTTGAGGAATGCGTAGTAACATCAAGTTTGGAAACCACTGCTCTAATCCACTTTGAGCGTTTAACATTTTCCTTATGAAAACAGAATGAAAAGAAAGAAAAGCAAATAAGAGATGCGCGCTTCCATTAACGTCGAACGTGTTTCACCGATGTTAATAAAAACGTTGCTTCTTTTTTATCAAGTAGGTTGCAGCAATTGTTCCATATTTTCTTTTGTTTAACTTCACTCTCTCTATCTCTAACCATCTCTTAAGATTCAATCTGCGCGCAATATATTGATGCTTTTGAACATATGGACAGAAGAGTCCAACGAAATCATTCATAAATACAATTGTTACAATTTAGATTTTCAAATGCAGAATAAATTTGACGAAGATCGCATCGACTTTGTAATCTTTTAGCAACTAGTGTGTGATTTATGGTGGACGGATGATGTCATCCGCAAGTAAAACCGTGGCTTTCTTTCATATTTATTGGCTATAAATAATGTTGAAAGAAAGAGAAAAGAAATAACAGGAGACAGGAAAGATATATAAAGATGTCATTGTTTAACTTTTATTTATACTCTAGAAACACCCGTTCGTTTAACTATGCAAAAAACACGTTATAAAACGAAAAGCGAGAAAGGTTCAAGGGAGCCAAACATGAATGTTAATTATTATTATTATTATATAAAAAAAATGTATTTAACAAATCTTGTGGATGTTGCAGGTGATTCGGAGCGTCAATAAATGTATATTTGTTGTTTTTGGATCTGCGTCGGTTGTTGTTGAGTGTCGAGTTCTTATTTCGTCGGTTCGATGGTCTCTCCACCGCGAATCTGACCCCAACCGATGAGACGCCAATGTTTCTCCACCCTACGACTGAGCGCGATCTTCTCGCCCACCTCCGTGCACACGGGATTCGTCAAAGCAATCTTAACTAAATCGGCTTTGGTCGCGATCACGCGACCGCCGGTACTCAGCGAGCCGATGTTGACCAGCAATACCTCGCTCTTCGTCAGCTTCTGCACCTTCGCGGCCTTCTTATCCCCTTCGGTGCGCACGCCCAAGAGTCGCTTCAGGAGGTAGTAATTCACCTCGAGTTCAATGAAAATACTTGGAAGCGCACCGACGGCGCCGAGCACTTGTCCGACGAGACGATCCGCTCTGCAGAGGGTCGGCTCGATCTTGGTGCCGACACCGATCAGACCGCCGGGGACGGCGAACTGGAGCTCGTTCTGCTCGGTGTACAGCGAGACGATCCGCGAAAAGATCGGTCTGCACGTCAGCTTACCCTCGGAGTCTTTGCTGACGAGGCCAGGACGCACCTCGATCTCCTGTCCGACCTTCAGCACTCCTCTCAGGATGCTGCCACCGGCGACGCCGCCCTTCAGATCGTTCACCTCGCAACCGGGTTTGTTCACGTCGAACGAACGGATGACGATCAGATGCGGCTCCGATGAGAAATCTCTAAGCGGCACCGGGATCTTCTTAGTAATGTACTCGCACAAAACCTGAAACGAATTATTTAAATCAATTGTATCAAATGTAAAAAAGCGAATTTGATCTTACCTCAATGTTGTATTTCAACTGTGCAGAAATTGGAATAATCGGTGCACCCTGAGCTACAGTGCCTTGCACGAATTTGACGATCTGTTCGTGCTGCTCCTTCGCCTGTCCCTCCTTCACCAAGTCAATCTTGTTCTGCAGGATCACGATGTGCTTCAGCTTCATGATCTCGATGGCAGCCAAATGTTCGCTCGTCTGTGGCTGCGGACACGATTCATTGCCTGGAAATCACAGAGACAGAGAGCATTCAACAACAACTATTCAATGATGATAAATGATAAATGACTACGACTTACCAGCGATGAGGAGAAGAGCTGCGTCCATGACGGCGGCACCGTTAAGCATAGTTGCCATGAGGATGTCGTGACCGGGGCAATCGACGAAGCTGACATGTCTCACCAGTTGGAAGCGGCCGGAGCAGGCCGGACGCAGGCAGGGGAAGGAATCGTCCTTGGATGAACTTCCAGAAATGTAACTGGCCGGTCTCGGACACTTCGGGTTATCACACTTGTATATCTTCGCGTTGGCGTACCCTTAATAATAATAATATAAATATAAAATAGTAAAGAAAAAAAAAGATAAACTACGAATATAGCAACAATAAAATCTCGTATCTTCTTGAGATGATTATGCGGGTGTAGTGTACAGCTAAATAATTATATTATTTAAAAAAAATAAAAAATGATCTTAAAAAGTAAAAAAAAACATTCTGTTTGCAAGGTAAATTTGAAGAAACAAATATTTATATATTAAAACAAATATTTGCGGCACTTCTGCGAGTTGCATCTGCAAACGAATTTATTTATCTTCTCCGGCGTCCGACTCGTCGACTTCGACTTTGCCGGGCTCTGGGAATCGCGATTGTTGCACATGTAGTCGAAGGTGAGCTCTTCGTCCTTTGCGATGTTCCGCAGAGCGAACATGGCGAGCAGCGGTAAATTGGGATTCGTGCAGTTGATCCAAACGGCCCAAACGCCGATGTTCGGATCGCACGAATGATTTATAAAATGCGAGACGTTGCCTTTAACTGCTGCGTCCACCGTGTACACGTTATCCGACGAGTGGAAGTCGAGATCGAAGAGGTACGTTATCCCGACGGCACCGTATATCTGATCCCTGCGTTCCGCCTCCTTCGCGGAGATCACCTCACCGACGTACGTGCAGACGAACGTGCCGGCCTTGATGTTCGCCAGAGTCTTCACACCCCAGCCGCAGCCGTTCCTCGTTTTGAATATCGCAAGCGGTATTTCGCTACCGTTCTGCACGACTCTGTTCTGGCACGTCGAGTCGCAGGAGCACTTCTTGTTGCATTCGTAGATGGCGAAACCCTGCGGCACGTTCACCCTTTTCGACATCGTGTACGCGAACTTCTTGCTGTCCTTCACGCCGCAGCACTTGCTCAGTCTGTAACTGCAACCGCCGGTGCAGTCGCATCCGTAATCCGGTTCGTACGAGATGACCAATCCTTTGCTGGCGACATACTCGTTCACGTATTGAAAATTCACTGGCGGATAGTCCAAATCCACGTTATTCTCGACGACGATGTTCGCGTTTTTACCGTTCTTCGTGTTGATCTCGTTCTGCCACTGTTCAATGTACGCGAGCTGCTGGCTTCGCCTCTGCCGGTAAACGTAAGTCAGGTACATGGTTTTTAATTTTAAATAAGGCTTGGTACTTTGCCTCGGCAGATTTCCGTACAACATGAGCAGTTCCCTCTGTATCGCGTACAAATCTTTGATCGTATCCCAGCCGAGGATCTTGTTATTCAAATGCCTCAACAACTCTTCGTTGTCCATGCATTTATTTAAATGCAAATAGATTCTCAACTTCTCCAGGATGTAGCTGTCGAAGACGTCGTCGATAAACTCTTCGATCATCTGCTTACATTTGGTAACATTCTGAAACGGCTCCCATGTACTATCGCTCACCGGGAACGATTTCCATTTGACGAGGAAATAGACCGAGCAGTGCGTAATCTTCACGCCGATGATACTTTCCACCTCGTATTCTACCTCATGGTCAGCGCTGACGACTATATTATCCGAAGAGCAAGAGTCTTCCACGTTGGGGTGCACTAATTTAATTAGTAAACATATCGCTTTGCCGTAGTACTCTTTGATCTCTCTGAAAATCAACCGTTTCTTCCGTCTCTTCATTCCGCGCGTATTATAAGGATTTATCATAAACTCAATGTCCCTGTGCAGGACCACGCGAAGTTCCTTTCGAGCTACAATCTCTGTTGGCTTCAAAGCGGATTGGTCAACCTCCTCCACATCCTCCATGGAATCCTGATGATTGGTCTCCATCAGCTCCTTTTCGACCTCCAAAAATCGCTCGTCTCTAATGTACGGTATCTCGCAGACCATCTTCGAGTCTATCGATAAATCGCACATCTTATTCGAGTCGTGCAAAATGTTATTCTCGTCCTCCTTCGAGTTCTCTTTCTCGGACGACGTATCCAACCATCTTTTCAATCTTTTACTCATCAACATTCTATTAAGTAGCCGTCTTTGCTCGAGTCTCTTTTTGCTCGTCCCTTTCGTTCTGTACTTAATGGGCTTACGTCGCTTCGCTGGAGGCTTATTCCTTCCGTTCACATCATTTTTTTTCTCTGCAATACATTTCGTTTTATTGTATTACATTGTACTGATGCAAAATAAATTATATTTAACATAATATATATATATATATAAATATTTATACTTTTGCAAAGTGCTTATTTATTTATGGCTTACGATGTGAACGGATCACAAAAAGCCTCCAAGTTTTACTTTTAACATTCCGTCTATGATCATCTAATCATCGAGAGAGAGAGAGGTGTGTTGAAAATAATCCCAAAGTTTTTCATGTGTTCACGACAACTTCTTCCAACTTCCCAGATGTGCTATTTTAAGAGATCTCAAATAAAATACAGTTCCCACCCATATTTATATTATAGAATAAATAGATAAAGTCTTTGATTCGAGGTTGTGGCTGAAGTTCCACTACATCTTCCATATGCATATGAATACACAAGATGTTGATGACGGATAGGAAACAAACAAACAAACAGTGGAACCTTTTCAACAACCTGATGATGTCTGGACGACTGCAGTAAACTGACCCCATTCTCATGCATTGACTGAGCTCAGTTTTACAACTTTTTTTTTTGGAGATAATAGAAATAGAATGTCTGCTTACCCAATTTAATGGTGATGTTCCTTTCGAGTTCGTTCTTAAATCTAACAGTTTGCACACCGGATATGGCTTTGACAACAGTGGATTTTCCGTGGGCTACATGTCCTATGGTGCCTATGTTTATGGTCGCTTGTCTGCTGATAACTTCTGGAGACAAGGCTGTGAGTTTCGTGACATCCTGCAGAACAAAATTACATTAGCCTCTGACTCCAGCACATTCATATTGTAAGGTAAGGTGTATAGGTTATGTGGAACAATCACTTAGAACAATCAAGTGGATCTGCAGAAGTCTTCGACGTCGATGAAGGTTTGTATTTGGTAAAGAATTTCGTAAAACTTACAAGTTTAGAAAGGTCTTGTTTATGTAGATTAGGCTGACCAGTTGTCACACCGCTTCCCTCGGATGCCATTTTTAATATAATGGACGAAACACAAGTTGTGCTGCCACCGCCAAGTCGATGGATGGACGACGACGGTTGGTATTATTGTTCGGATGATGCAACCAGATGCAACGTTGCTAAATTTGAATTAAAATTCTTGAAAAAACTTTAAGAAAACAGGAATTTCCTCATAGATGTTGCATAGATTGAAACGAAACGCTTCAACGTTTAAATCTATATATTTTATACGCAGTTAAACCGCATCGTCGATTCGATTATTTCCCGCGACAATAGAATTTCTTCGTTTTTTTTGTTGCCAAGTGCGAAAAAAAAAAATAAAGAATAGCGAATTCGCGTGAATGGTATGAAATGATCGGAGCGGGCTCGTGTCATCCGATTGTAACAAATAAATTATTTGTGTGAAAACGTCAATCGCTATCATCAACCCTCACATAAACCTCCCAGTTTTATTCCATCCCCCCACCATCTGCTGAGGTTGCATTAACAACCCCTAATCACACATCGATATTGACGCAGTGTTCTCTTATAGGAATTAGGTGAGAATTGCACAGGATGGCAGCCAATCCCACATACAAGGTATGTATTAATCGAATCGTAACACAAATCTCTTTAAATTATGTGTATGTTTATAGCCGAATGAGTGCAAGAGGGAAGAGTTCCGCAGGTACCTGGAGAAAACTGGAGTGATGGATGCCTTGACCAAAGTTTTAGTTTTACTTTACGAAGAAACTGACAAGCCAGACGATGCCTTATTGTATCCTTTTTTTTCTTTACATTTGAGCTTCAATCGAATCATTGAATGGAATAGATAAGAGTTCTTTAATAATCGATGCACAGATTCATTCAGAACACGTTAGCCAAGCAGACTGGAAACGAGACGTTGGACGAGCTGAAAGCGCAGATCGCCGAGCTGCAGGAGAAGATAACGATGCTCGAGGAGGAGAAGGAAAAGGGGCACGTCGATGAGAACGCGGACGCAGGAGAGGCCGTCGACGGTGAGGCTCCTGCGAGTTCCCCATCGGCAGCGGCTGCGGCCTCTCAGATGGCCGCAGCTGAACCGGCCGCGGAACCTGCACCAGCCGAATGAGTTCTTAAAGCAAACAGCAAACAAACAGAAGAGAGTATTATAAACCTAACCATTTTAATTGTAAGAATTTTTATTTATTTTTTTTTTAAAAAAAGGATATTTAGTTTTTATCTTTTCTTTCCGCTCTTGTTACTTAATTTATTATTATTTACGCCTTTATAGAAATATTACTTTTTCTTTTCCTTGCTTCAATTGTTTTAGTTTCATAGAAATACTGTTTTTTTTTTCTCTTTTAGTTGTCGTTTGTTTATATTTTCTTTTCATTTGTTTCCTATGTTGTACTGATTATCTATGACAAAACTAAACAAAAGGTAACGCTATGCTGCACACAAAGATTCCCTCCAGTTGTTGATATGTACGAGATAAAAATGTATTTCCATTTTTATATTATTAAAGGTAGTGAAGTGTCGAGAGAAAGAAAAGTTGGATGAAATTGTAAGGATTTTAATTAAAGTTGATGATGAGAAATAAAAATGTTTAATGCAGAAGTGATGTGAATTCCTTTCAAGTTTCTGTTAAAGTTAAAAGGAGGAAAGCGAAAGTAGTTTGGAAAAGTCGAGCTTGTTCCAAATTTTTTTAGTTGTAAATGCAAAGAATATGTTTCTTCTTTTTTTTTTAATCCAACTATTTCGCAGCGCTCGCCGCCTTCGCCGCTTGACGCCTCTTGACATCCCAATTGTACACCCTAGCCATGTTTACTTCAGTTGTTGTGAATTGATCTCTGCAATAAAGTATATATATTTAGTTACTCATGTTGTTTTCGTTTTTAATAATAATTGATACCTTAAGAAGTTCAAATCGTGATCCACATGCATCAGATTAGTGGTAGCCGAATTGATGTTGTTCGTGAGCAGTTGCTTGGCATCCTGCAGATTGTATTCGAGCATAACGTTGGCGCCCAACCAGAGACACACCTTGTCCGTGGGTGGGATGATCGCCTTCACGAAAACTTGATCGCTCAGCAGATACTCCGTCTCGAATTCCTCCTTCTGCGTTTCCAGTTTCTCGATCATCGTCAGAGAGGTCTTCAAATCGGGGATCTGGTTGCGGAGACGTTTCCTTTTCGATTGCAGATTGTATTCCATGAACTTGTATTTCGAGTGCTGCTCGTCGAGTTTCTTGAGAACTTTGTCTGCGTTCCCTTCGTTATCCTTTTTTCCCAAGTAAGCGTCGACATCGTCCTTTCAGGTAAGAAACAAAAGAGGGTCGATCAATTAGTGTAATTCATGTAGGTGTTATCCACACAAATGGTAGCATGCTTCAGATATAATTCAACGCTTACCACGAATTCGGCCTCCGGAATGCCGGCGTACGACTGCTTCTCGTCCAATTCCTTTTCCACCGCTTTCTGTTCGGAAGCCATCCTGATCTGCTAATTCACAATTAGCTAAAATTATATATATATAAATAAGTTCCAATCGGCTATTGCCTATTTTGGAGGTTGACAAATCCGTGGGTGACTTCTTGCGCGCAGTTTTACCAATATCACCAATTAAAAAAATACAATTCTCTCTCTCTCTCTCTTTATAAATATCACCTAAAAACCCAAAAATCAACTCATAATTACAACACATATTAAATTGAACAATTAAATCACTGATAAACCAATATAAAGATTTGAAATTATAAAAAATATATAAGAAATTGCATTTGAAAAACTCCAGCAGATGTCACTGTTTAACAACATTCAAACGCTAATAAAATCATTAACGAACAATTAATTAATACAATATTTATATAATATTTCTTTAAGCAACAAAACTATTAATAGTAATTTCTAATTAATGCATTTATTAAAAAAATCTTATTATTATTAAAAATATTGGCCATCTCTGAACAATAAAGTAAAGTTTATAGTTCAGCACTTTCTGCGCTGTTCTAAACGCGAAATTTTAATTAAGACTTTATATTAATTAAAAAAAAGCATCAATTAATTTGTGTGTAGAATTGTAGCTTATATTATCTAATATAAGTTATTGGTTATTCAAATGTGAATGATTTCAAGGTGCTTCAACTGTCCATCTAGCGTTAATTATTGGAGTGATTGGGAATTTAAATTTTTAAAATTAATATTCTAATAGTTTAATCATTGTATTTTTTTTTAATTTAATGAATCAAATAAATATTGTTAATTTAAATAACAATCATATTTAAATCTACTTTTTTAATATATTTTTTAATGTATAATCCCCATGCGCTGTTCTAAATGCGAAATTTTAATTAAGACTTTCTATTAATTAAAAAAAAGCATTAATTAATTTGTGTGTAGAATTGTAGCTTATATTAGCTAATATAAGTTATTGGTTATTCAAATGTGAATGATTTCAAGGTGCTTCAATTGTCCATCTAGCGTTAATTATTGGAGTGATTGGGAATTTAAATTTTTAAAATGTATATTCTAATAGTTTAATTATTGTATTTTTTTTAATTTAATGAATCAAATAAATATTGTTAATTTTAATAACAATCATATTTAAATCTACTTTTTTTTAATATATTTTTTTTAATGTATAATCCCCATGCGCTGTTCTAAATGCGAAATTTTAATTAAGACTTTCTATTAATTAAAAATAGCATTAATTAATTTGTGTGTAGAATTGTAGCTTATATTATCTAATATAAGTTATTGGTTATTCAAACGTGAATGATTTCAGGGTGCTTCAACTGTCCATCTAGCGTTAATTATTGGAGTGATTGGGAATTTAAATTTTTAAAATTTATATTCTAATAGTTTAATCATTGTATTATTTTTAATTTAATGAATTATATAAATATTGTTAATTTAAATAACAATCATATTTAAATCTACTTTTTTTTTTTAACATATTTTTTAATCTATAATCCCCATGCGCTGTTCTAAACGCGAAATTTTAATTAAGACTTTCTATTAATTAAAAAAAGCATTAATTAATTTGTGTGTAGAATTGTAGCTTATATTAGCTAATATAAGTTATTGGTTATTCAAACGTGAATGATTTCAAGGTGCTTCAACTGTCCATCTAGCGTTAATTATTGGAGTGATTGGGAATTTAAATTTTTAAATTTATATTCTAATAGTTTAATCATTGTATTTTTTTTTTAATTTAATGAATCATATAAATATTGTTAATTTAAATAACAATCATATTTAAATGTACTTTTTTTTAAATATATTTTTTAATGTATAATCCCCATGCGCTGTTCTAAATGCGAAATTTTAATTAAGACTTTCTATTAATTAAAATAAGCATTAATTACTTCTTTTTTTTTTAGAATTGTAGCTTATATAAGTTATTGGTTATTCAAATGTGAATGATTTCAAGGTGCTTCAACTGTCCATCTAGCGTTAATTATTGGGAATTTAAATTTTTAAAATTTAAATTCTAATAGTTTAATTATTGTATTTTTTTTAATTTAATGAATCAAATAAATATTGTTAATTTAAAAAACAATCATATTTAAATCTACTTTTTTTTTTAATATATTTTTTTTAATGTATGATCCCCGTGTAAGATAGAAAACTTGTTATTAACTTAAGTTAATAAACAAATGAGTTAATATGGTATAGTGATTAAAATGTTTACATGATTTTTTTTTGTATGTTGTGAAGCAGGGTTGGTCAGCCCTTACGTAGTAGAAGGGATGATGCTCGAAAAATCAATCGCTCGACATGCACTGAATCGCGCAATTCGCACGAGTATTATTTCCATTATGGGACGTGTTTACAAATATAATTAAAAAATAAGGTAAATAATTGTCTTTTTATTTATATAATAGCCGAGGTTTTAATAACTTGTTGCTTAATATTATTACTTAGTTGCTATGGTAATGAATTGTAATTAACATGATAGGAGCGTTGCTATGGAAATTGCAATTTGTGGTGTTTAATTTTCAGATGTTTCGCGATGAGTTTGAAGTTGCGATGGGTGATGATCTCATTGAAACGTTACTATGTTAGCTTGGCGCTGGCCGCTGCGCTTTTCACTTTGGGCTTTACGTATAATTTCGTGTACGAGAATGAGAGAAGGCCTCGACTCTTCACCACGGCTGTTACAAGAACGTCGACGTCTTCACGGAATAACGATTTGATCGTCGAAGGGAACATATTTTCCAACAGCGAGCTGCGAGCCAAACTGTACAAGCAAAAGGTGGAGAGGTTGTCGAAGAAGATGAAGAAGTCGCGTCTGATAGAGTTGAACGCGAAGCGGGTTGCGCGACCCAACTACAACGTGCACATCTTCTACTACGCCTGGTACGGGAATCCACGATACGACGGTTCGTACAGGCATTGGAATCACAGATACGTTCCCAATTGGAAAACGGACGATCGCAAGGTCTATCCGACGGGAAGCCACGATGCGCCCACCGATCTGGCATCGAACTTCTATCCGAAATTGGGTTGTTACAGCTCGAGGGATCCGGCCGTGATCGAAACCCATTTCAGGCAGATCAGAGACGCTGGTGTGGGCGTGGTCGTGCTCTCGTGGAGCCCGCCCACTTTCAAGGACTCGCCCAGCGATCTGATGCCGCGCCTCTTCGAGACCGCCGAGAGCGTCGGCTTGAAGATCGCCCTGCACATCGAAGCGTACGCGAAACGCGATCCGGTGAATCTGCTCGAGCATCTGAAGCAGTTCATGGGCGAGTTCGGAAGTCACGCAGCGCTTTACAAGATGCGGAAAGCGTTGGGTGGGAAGAAGGAGGTGCCCGTGTTCTACGTGTACGATTCGTATCTGACGCCTTCCGTCGCGTGGAAGGAGGTGCTCAGCAGGAAAGGCAACTTGAGCGTGCGCGACACCGATTTGGACGCGATCTTCTTGGGTCTCGTCGTCGATCTGTCGCACAGGTCGCACGTCAGGAAGTCGCAGTTCGACGGATTCTACACGTACTTCGCGTCGAACAGCTTCACGTACGGAAGCACGTGGAAGAACTGGCGCGCTCTGTCCAAGTTCGCCGTGCAATTCGGTCTGATCTTCGTGCCGAGCGTCGGTCCTGGTTATGCGGACACGCAAATCCGGCCGTGGAACAGCGCCAACACCAGACACAGAAGACACGGCCAGTACTACGACGTGGCCTGGAGGAGCGCCATCAGCAACGACAACGTCAATTACGTGTCGATAACTAGCTTCAACGAGTGGCACGAAGGGACGCAAATCGAACCCGCTCGTTCCAAGAACATCCTCGGTTTCACCTATCTGGATTACGAACCGGACGGCGCAGACTTCTACCTGAACCTGACGCAATGGTGGGTCGGACAATTCGGGAAATCCTTAGAATCGAACGAAATGGACCAGCATTTGTTTAACAATTGAACTCAAAGCACTAAAATAAACATAATCAACATCTCATGTAATTTAATAAAAACACTAAGAAAAGTTAAATTCTCTTTAGCTTGTTATATATTAATATAAAAATATCTATTTATAAATAACAAAATTGTAAACTCTCTCTCTCAATCTCTCGATGATGATGATGATACAATATATATATAGTTTGTATTTTTTTTTTTTATATAAAATTAGTAGAAATCGTTGATGAGTCGTCGATAATTGTCGCCGTTGCAGTAGGATCTTAGGGTTTTATTGCTGAACCCTAGTAGTCTGCAATTGCTTGAAAAGAAGAAACCAGAGGGGACACGAAGGAATAAAAAATGATTACGTTTTCATAAATAAATAAGAGCTGCTGTCCGAACTATTTCACCAGCAGAAAACCGTGCACGTTGCATATGAACTTATCGAATTGATCGCGAAACTTGAGCTTATGCCGGTCGCAGGTCAACGGAACGTTCGCCATCAGTCGATTGAATTCGGTCGCCAGCCTTTCGGCAACAGCAGGATCGGTCTGCATTTGAATCATGTTCTGGACGAGCATCTGATACTGCTCGCTGTAGCAACATATCAACGTGTAGATGCAGAGGCTCGCCGTGGCGACCATGTCCGTGCAGATCTGCTGCGACAGCGTCAGATCCATGATCAATTTGAGGAAGGGCATCAGAGCCTGATAGGCGGCGCTCTGCTTCATCGAATGCTTGAAGATGTGCGTCGCTAGGCCGGCGACGAAGTCCAGACAGGGCTGCGCCACGTCCGCCGTGAACTGCGTCAGACCGATCTCGACGGAGGTTAACAGCTTGCGGAGCATATCTTCGGGCAGCGCGCACACCTTCTCCGGGTAAATATCGTTGATCAGCGTCAGCAGTCCGTAGTATTGGTGGCACAGCGCCGGATACTTGAGCAGATCGAGCGTCATCAGGGGCATGATGAACCGGAGTCCGTACAAGGCGACGTCCGACGCCGCCACAGTTGGCTCCTCTTGATTGATCAACGGATTCAAATCCAGACAATCCTTGGACAGGATGTACGTCAACAAGTCCATGACCAAACACAGATCTTGGAAGTTGCCCTCCTCGTTCAACGCTTCAGTGCTGAATCTGTTTTGATTGCACTTGGCGTACACCTGAACGACGTTGTACGTCGTCTCGTAAAGTTGATTGCTGTCCGCCACGGACAAATAACACAGCACGTTCTTCGCGCACTGTCCGAACAAATCCAGAATCATCTGCACGATCACCTGGTAATTGTGATACATGTTCAATAGCACCGGCAGCTCGGACAGGATCGGACCCAAGAACTTGAACAGGATCACGACCGTTCCCATCGTCGCACCCTTCGAAATACCGATGAAACATTCCAGCAGATCCTGGATCTCCTTCTGTATGTTATCCTGCTGGTAAATGCGATTGAAGTTCTCCTGGCACAGGACGCCTTTGAACCTCTGCTGCACCGGTTTCAGGATTTGATCGTAATACTGTACAGCCTCGTCGTCCTTTTTGAGAGCAGTTCCAGCCAGAACGAAGCCCTTGTAGAGACCGCGCCTTATATTCACAGGAAGCATTCCAGCTTGTAGCTTCGACTGCAAATTAATTAAATTCCACAAACCCTCCGTCTTCACAATATACAACGATCTAAACAACAACAACAACAAATCTCAATTAAATTAAATCCAAAACACTAAATATTGATCAACTTGCTTGCTTTTGATCCCAACCACATCGGAGAACAACTCGACCGTGTCCCGAAGCAGAATTGGCTCCGAATTGTAATAACATATATTCGATTGGATCTTCGCCAATACAAAATTCATCACAAAATTTGCACCTTCCGTGTCTTTGCCCAGAGCCCCAATCAAGACCGGACTAATCTGAAATCAATTAAATTGAATTCCTTTGCAATTATGTGAGGGTTTTTTTTTTCTCTTACCTCTTGGTAGAACGATTCGGTGGGGAGAAGGTAGGAGAGACTCCAGCGTTTGAGGAACCACATCAGAGTGCAACTCACTTCGGGACTCATGAAATGGCCCAACTTCACTTCGGCCGCAGATGATTCTATCGCGCAGAGTTTCAGCACGTCCGCGAATATGCGGACAGCGTGATCGCAGAGCGGCGAGCATTCCGCGTCGTTCCCTAGCTGCTGCACGCTGGCCATCACCTTCAGAGACTCGTCCAAGTTCGTCAAACCCTTCGCGTTCATGTCCATAGAGTAGCGCATCAGATCGGAGGGAATTGTAGGTGTTTCTCCGTCGCTGTCCATGCACAGGGTGTGACCTGCAATCAGCACCGTCCAATGGATATCCTCGAAGATGTTGTCCAGTGTAACAGAGTCATTAATGGACATAGCTTGCGATTGCATTGTGTGCAAATGTGAGCGCAGTTTATTCGTCCTGTCCTCCAACAATCTGCAATAATTCACAAATTATTAATAACTGCACAAATTATTAATAGTTGTTGCGTTTCTCACTTGTAAAGGATGGGAAGCGCTTGATCGGGAACAATCCTTCCGAAGAGCCCGATCGTTTGCAGCTGATCTTTGAATTTCGTTCGATCGTTATCCTCGTCGTCTTCGATTTCCTCCACCTCTAGATCGGTACCTTGCTTCCGTGAACCATCGGGCGACGACAAGTGGCATTTGAGGTACGTGTTGAATATGCACGTCGCAGCCTGTCCCAAGAAGTCGTTCGTCACTTGCCGGTACTCCTGAATCAGAAGAGCCCAAGATTCCAGCATGATCTCAAACGAATCCATATAACACTTTTCGTCGCAATCCTAAATAGAAACATCCAGAATAATAGATCGATGTTAGATATTTTCAATAATTTACCACTTCTTCGGTAGCAGCGCCTTCGATGAAACAGCACGTGAGCCTCGTCAGGTCATCAATGTAAGATTCCTGCAAGGCCTTGGGCAGCGCAATAACGTCATGTACAAAGTGCAGATGGATGTTCTTGGTAATCTGCGAAATGCCGAGACTCTCCTTGCTCTTGATGGTGACGCTCGTGATGAGTTTCAGGAAGTTTTCCATGAACGCGCCGATGTACAGCATCTTGTCCGTGTGCTCAGCCATGATCCCTCCGTTCAGGGAAGCCAGTTGCACCAGGCAAGTCATCGCGTGGTGCGACAGCTGATCGTTGTCTCTGACCTTCCAGTAAATTTGGAACATCAGCGGTAGAAACTGCGGGGCAAACATGATGCTCTTCCACTGCATTCCCAGTCTCAATGAAGGCGCGTGATCCGCCCTCTGGACCATTTCGTATAGACCTATCAACTTTTTCGGCAGTGAACAAGTACGTTAAGGAAAACAATTCGAAAACTACTGCAGCTAAACAATGATTAGTTTTGTATTAAAAGAAAAAAGGATATATGATGATGCCATGAATCCCCAAGACAAAATACTCTCAATGATGGTCAGCAGATGTTTCAATAAGTTATTGACGTTATCCCCAAATGGTGTATCACTTTTGATTATCTCTGAAATGACTTGCACGCAAAACTGAAAGATCCTCTTCAAGTCGACAGCCTCGAAGTTCATCTTAGCCTTGTAATGGACCTCCCAAGAAAGTCCCACATCCGTGGACTTGACGGTTATAGCATATTCTTGCATCAAGTTAGTAATCAATTTGCAACCTAAAATTTGCTAAAAGAACATTTAAAAATTAAATCGCTTTACCAACAACAACATCAAGTTCGATTTGATTACTTTAGCTGAATCTCCGTTAATGAAGAGCGCCTCAACGTCATTCAATATATTCCCTCTGTCCTGTCCAAAGTCCTCCACACTGCCCCTCTTCACCATTATCGCTAAAACCTGCAACAATTTGTCCTGCACGAAAGCCGGTATATCTCTGGAGATAATGTAATGTAGCAGGTACTGTCTCAGAGACAGTATGTCCGATTCCTGCAGGAAAGTCCATTCTCTGATCAAAGCACACTTGAGCACCTCGGCTGCTTCGAACTTCACATAGTCAGAATTCGATGTCTCCAGGATCTGGCGGCAGACTGCATATGGGCATTTGGACTTTCTGAATCCCAGAAAGACACCCTCAGCGTTATGCCTCTGCTCGTTTGACACCAAGTTCGGTGGGGCCTTAAAAAATCAGCGATTATAAATAGAATTCAATAACAAAGGAAAATAAAATTTCAAAAAAAAAAAAGACAACAACGTGAAGGTTAACTCACCAAGATTATATTGGCTGCAGACTCCAATGCTGCTAACGCCTGCTTCTCCATAGCGTCCGCATAAAACTGTATTCACCACCGAAAAGTATTGAACACTTTGGGGAAGGTTATGTTTATGTATTTATTTATATGATTGGTACCAATTGCTATCATTATAAATGCAAAAAAAAATAATCGTTCCCTTCAGTTGGTACTGCAAGTCCCTTTAAATTCCTTTAAATCCATTAAAAACGCGAAACTTTTTAGTTATTTCAGTTTAAATTACATTTGAAATTAACGCAAATTCGTAAACAAGACAATTAATATATTTTCACTTAAATAAAAATTAATAACAAAATGTTATTTCTGTTCATGCACGTTAGATGTAGCTTTACAATAATATTTCTGCATGTTGATTTTCGAAAAAACAAATCGTTCCCTTCAGTTGGTACTACAAGTCCCTTTAAATTCCTTTAAATCCATTAAAAACGCGAAACTTTTCAGTTATTTCAGTTTAAATTACATTTGAAATTAACGCAAATTCGTACACAAGACAATTAATATAGTTTCAATTAAAAAAAATAATAACAACATTTTATTTCTGTTCCTGAACGTTAGATGTAGCTTTACAATAACAGAAACATTTTTGATTTTTTAAATGAATTTTTAAAATTTAATAAAAACTGTTCATTATTGCATTATATTCAGCATCTTTTAAATGAAAGTATCTGAAATTTTCTAGTAGTTTGTTTTTATATAGCTTTTGATTCAATTATTGAACATTAGTATTTATCTATGTTGTTTTTATTAAAGATTTAGCTTATTTTAATGTATAAATTACTTATTTCAATTAAAAAAATTAATAACAAAATGTTATTTTTGTTCATGCACGTTAGATGTAGCTTTACAATAATATTTCTGCCTGTGGATTTTCGAAATAAAATTGTTCATTATTGAATTTGTTGCATTATATTCAGCATCTTTTTAATGAAAGTATCTGAAATTTTCTAGTAGTTTGTTTTTATATAGCTTTTGATTCAATTATTGAACATTAGTATTTATCTATGTTGTTTTTTTATTAAAATTTTAGCTTATTTTAATGTATAAATTACTTAATTCAAAGATTGTAAAAGTTATTGTTGAAGTGTGTGAATTTATGCGATGACCCGAATTTGACCTGTGCGAATGGAGTTGCCTAAATCTTGCAAGTGACTTGTCAATTTGGTGCGGTGTGCAAAGTACAAAAAAAACATAAGTTGTTATCATCCCTACTATTACTACCTATTGCTACTGGATTCCATAAAATCGAAGCTCCGACACAGTTTTCCTGCAGAGTCACGTTGAATCAGCTGTAATTATCTAAGATGGCAAAGGCAGTGTGCGTTCTGAACGGCGAGGTCAAGGGGACGCTGTGGTTCCAACAGGACGTAAGTTTTACGTAATGTTGTTGTTGTTGTGATGGTTCATGTTTGTTTGTTTGTTTCATTTGCAGGGAGAGAAAGGTCCGGTCGTCGTCTCCGGCGAGGTGTCCGGCTTGAAGCAGGGCCTCCACGGATTCCACATCCACGAGTTCGGTGACAACACCAACGGTTGCATCTCGGCCGGGCCCCACTTCAATCCGCAGGGCAAGGATCACGGCGGTCCCACCTCCGACGTACGTCACGTCGGTGACCTGGGCAACGTAGAGGCCGGTAGCAACGGCGTCGCCATGGTGTCCATCTCCGACAAGGAGATCTCGTTGTTCGGCAACAACAGCATCCTGGGACGCACCCTCGTCGTCCACGCCGATCCCGACGACATGGGAGCGGGCGGACACGAACTCAGCAAGACCACAGGAAACGCCGGCGCTCGTCTCGCTTGCGGCGTCATCGGCATCGCCTCCAAGAAGTAAACAGTTGAAGAAGAAACAAAAAAAAAAAAACAAAAGCTGGAGAGTACCATTCCATAGCTGGCTTTGCTACCCTTCCAAAAACACAAATTTCGTTTAATTTGCATACAGTTATTATTTTCCTTTTTTCTATTATAATTTGCGGGTTCTTATTAGGATAATACTGTTGCGTACACGCAGATAGATACGTTGTCATTGTTTTATTTTGTTTCGAAAATATAAATATATACATTATATTAGAACGATAATTCACAGCAATAATAACACCAATCCACGCCACAAACACCCAATTAAAAAAAATATAATAACAACAGAAATGCAATTATTTAATTGAAGCTTTGAATGCTTCCAATCACAGCTCGCCATTATTACTAAACATTTTGTTATTTACTAAAAAAATATATATATCTTTTTCCCATTCTCTTCAATAATCTATTTCCTCGATGGTCATCTTCTCCTGTTTCTTTGGTTTGTACTCCAGCATATTGCTGGGTCGTTGATGGTAACCGATCATTCTGTCGCTGGGTTCGTAATACTGCTGCTTCTTTGGTTGCCTAACGTCCTTCCAGATCATCGCGAAGAACACGAAGAACCATCCGATGACTCTCTCGATCAACGCCAGAACGGACTGCATGAACGGCGTCGCGGAGTGCACGAAAATCGAAATTTCCCGCATGAAAGCCAACGTGTAAATTATAAGGAACTTGATCATATTCACGATCCCCGTGACGACTGTCACAAGCAGTATGGATATGAATATGGTCGATGATTTGATGTTGTCGAAGGTCAGAAGATGGTAGAACTTGATCAGAGATTCTCTCGCTCTCTGCAAAAAGACTTCCTGCATTGTGGTGATGTTCAGATTGATCTCTGCATCAACGATTTCATCGTGCAATTCCTCGACTGGTCTCACTTGGGTTAGCTGCACGTAGATCTCGGTCTGCTTGAACTTGACGGATTTCACTGTGTACCAATAAGAGCCAAGCACTTGATCGCTTAAGCTCACCCACAGCCTCAGCGAATTCTGATGCTCTGTGATTCCTATCCACTTGGTCAACCCGCACTGCGGTTCGATTAACTTCTTCACCTCATTCAAGTTGTGTATGAGGTCCTTCTCGCTGGCATTCACCAGAACTATGTCGCGATACGTGCCCAATTTCTCCACGTACCGTTTCTCGCAGTACGTTCCCACGAACAATTTACCTTTCAGCAGATGGTTAGCAAAGTTTTTCAGCTGCTGCTGTTGACCTTCCTCACTGGACGACAAATCCAGATCCGAAGTGGACGAATTCACTGCACTGTATTTGCTCATCTTCACGACCTCAATTTCACGTACATCAAGACATAATTAGAGAAATTACACTGAGTAATCGCGATAATACACTTTAAACTTTGCCCATCCACCGCTGCTGCTCATTGTTACTAAACGTATGATGACAGCAGATGCTGTCACCGATGACAGCAGGTATCACATTTCAAAATTTTTCACACCTGCTCAAAATCTTCATTCAATTAAAGAAATTAACACAAAGCATCTAAATTAAATCCTAAATCTGTTAATTAATAATATAAAATATTTTTCTTTATTACTAATCAATCTAATAATGAAAACACCAAGTGTACATTTGGTTGCCTACATTACATATACGTTTTGGAATTAATCATTTCTTTTTCAATTAATTATATTTAGTAGGTGATGGTAATGCAAAAATTAATATTTATTGAAAAACATAAATAATTTAAATATATAATAAACCTGCTCAAAATCTTCATTCAATTAAAGAAATTAACACAAAGCATCTAAATTGAATCCAAAATCTGTAAATTAATAATATTAAATAATTTCATTACTTACTAATCAAATGTACATTTGGTAGCCTACATTACATATACATTTTGGAATTAATAAGGTGATGGTAATGCAAAAATTAATATTTGATAGACAAAAAATATTTATTGAAAAACATAAATAATTAAAATATATAATAAAACTGCTCAAAATCTTCATTCAATTAAAGAAATGAACATAACACATCTAAATTAAATCCAATACCTGTTAATTAATAATATTAAATATTTTCATTAATTACTAATCAATCTAATAATGAAAACACTAAATGTACATTTGGTTGCCTACATTACATATACGTTTTGGAATTAATCATTTCATTTTCAATTAATTATATTTAGTAGGTGATGGTAATGCAAACATTAATATTTGATAGACAAAAATAATATTTATTGAAAAACATAAATAATTTATATATATAATAAACCTGCTCAAAATATTCATTCAATTAAAGAAATTAACATAAAGCATCTAAATTGAATCCAATATGCGTTAATTAATAATATTAAATATTTTCATTAATTACTAATCAATCTAATAATGAAAACGCCAAATGTACATTTGGTTGCCTACATTACATTTACGTTTTGAAATTAATCATTTCTTTTTCAATTAATTATATTTAGTAGGTGATGGAAATGCAAAAATTAATATTTGATAGACAAAAAATAATATTTATTGAAAAACATAAATAATTTAAATATGTAATAAACCTGCTCAAAATCTTTATTCAATTAAAGAAATTAACACAAAGCATCTAAATTGAATCCAATATCCGTTAATTAATAATATTAAATATTTTCATTAATTACTAATCAATCTAATAATGAAATGACCAAATGTACATTTGGTTGCCTACATTACATATACGTTTTGAAAGTACAGTGGTGCCTCACACAACGAACTTAATTCGTTCCAGGAGCAAGTT